TTCTCTCTCATACCACGTAGAGGTTGCACGTTCCGACTTCATGAGAGGATCGTGATATTATTATATTTTAAATAAGGTAAATCACAATACTTTTTTTTCTTTTTTTGTTTTAGATGAGCTACGATACAATACAACATTGAGAGGCAGGAAAAAAATTTTTTTACATGTTGAGTGGAGTTGAGATAACTTATTTCGAGAAAAAATAAATACGGTCAGTTATTATGAGTAGGAGTATGAGTACTTTTGAGATGAGATGAGTTGAGTTTTCAATGTTATTACTGTGGGTCAAATAGCTACGTTGTCTGACTCAATAAGGAGAGGAACTTTCGTGCCATAGCGAAGTAGTGTAGTACTAGGGAAGGCCTCTATGTGTCATTGGTCTCTACTGTTCATACAGTATACATTCGACCATTGCCATATCAATCCGGCGTGGTCCGCCTATGGTACCTATGGTATTCACAAGGGATCTCTCCCTTATCGCGCGCGCATATGTCAAAATTAGCAGAGAAAAGTCGAAATAAATAGCAATGTGAATAAATTTATTGAGCAAGCGAGAAGAAAAAGTTACAGTTACATTTTCTTTTTTACATAGGCAATCCCTTTTGTGACGTTCTGAATACGAGGGTGGTTTGGTGGAAGCGATTTTTGTAAAATAGCAAGTGCCCTCTCTAGAAGTGAGAGTGCTTTCGAGTAGTCACCCATGTTATCATACACTTTAGCGATGTTGTTGTATGAAGTAGCCAAATCGGGATGATTCGGAGGCAGAGCTTTTTCGAAGATTTTATGTGCTTTTTCGTAAAATTCAAGTGCTTTCGAGTAGTCACCCATGTTGTAATACGGAAGACCGATGTTGTTGTATGAACTAGCCAAATCTGGATGATTCGGAGGCAGAGCTTTTTCTGTTATTTTCAGTGCTTTTTCGTAAAATTCAAGTGCTTTCGAGTAATCACCCATGTCGCCATGCACTCCACCGATGTTGTTGTATGAAGTAGCCAAATCGGGATGATTCGAAGGTAAAGCTTTTTCGAAGATTTTATGTGCTTTTTCATAAAATTCAAGTGCTTTCGAGTAGTCACCCATGTCGTTATACGCAAGACCGATGTTGTTGTAGGACATAGCCAAATCGGGATGATTCAGAGACAGAGCTTTTTCTCTGATTTTCAGTGCTTTTTCGTAAAATTCAAGTGCTTTCGAGTAGTCACCCATATGGTAATACACTCCACCGATGTTGTTGTAGGATTGAGCCAAATCGGGATGATTCGAAGGCAGAGCTTTTTCGTCGATTTTAAGTGCTTTTTCATAAAATTCAAGTGCTTTCGCGTAGTCACCCATTTTGTCATACACTCTAGCGAAGTTGTTGTAGGCACTAGCCAAATGGGGATGATTGGGAGGCAGAGCTTTTTCGATGATTTTATATGCTTTTTCATTAAATTCAAGTGCTCTCGAGTAGTCACCCATATGGTAGTACACTCCAGCGATGATGTAGTAGGAAGCAGCCAATTCGGGATGATTCGGAGGCAGAGCTTTTTCTCCTATTTTAAGTGATTTTTCGTAAAATTCAAGTGCTTTCGAGTAGTCACCTATGTTGTTATACACTTGACCGATGGTGTTGTAGGTAGGAGCCAATGAAGGATGATCTTCTGAAAGAGTTTTTCGCTTGATTTCGAGGGACGTTTCGAGAAATGAAGCCGCTTCGTTGTATTGTCCTTTTTTCTGTTTCAGCGATGCAAACTGATGATAGATATATGCTCTGTCACTGTCGTTGGATGTCTGTTCTAGTAGTGCGTTATAGAGTTCTTCGGCCTTGTCAAATTGACCAATTGTGAGCAGCAATACACCCAATCGATACCATCCAGTGCCGTCGACCTCTTCTCGTATACGACCGGTTAATCGACGGAGTTGTTTGTCGTCATCAGACGTAAGTGTAAGGTCCACTTCATAAAGTGAACTTTCGTTGTGAAGTTGTCGAATGTCACCAATTCGAAAAACTGTATGCATGGAGAAGAGAATTTCCTCTTCGTCCTTGAAATTACTCACCTCCTGGATGGAGGCGAAAGGAGTCGATGAGACAGTAGGATCTATGGTCATTTGAAAAAGGATACCAACCATATCCGTTACTTTTGAGCTGCTTTCGGCGAAAGCAAGGGAGACATCACGATCGGTAGTGGTGGATAAAAAGTTATTGAAGGATATAAGTCCATTTGTGTTGTTCGAAAGTTTTTGAAAGTCACCTATCGATAATCCTTGACCCCTATAAACTAAAAAGGACTTCCCATGATATTGACTGACCTGTTTGTTGTGTAAATCTTCGATTTGTCGATGAACATCACAAAGAAAGAATCCCATTCGAATGATAATGTCGCCATCCAATGTTCGTAATGCACTATTGAGCATTTGGAACATGAAACATGAGCGTGTATACCACCATAATGCCAATGTTGGATTATAAGTACGCTGAAATTCATTGATTAACTCGAGTTCTTTGGTATTGCCCTTGTATTGTTCTTGGCAATATGTGAGCAAATCCTTTATGGCTTCTTCGTCATGTTCCATGTCAAGGAGTATTTCCTTGAATATTTGTGAGTACATGAAAGAGGGTTCTAGCTGATTAAGATCTTCACTAGAACCTCCTTCACTAGCACTAATAATACTAACAGTTACCTGACTTTGATCACATTGTTTTATAGCCATTGCCAGGTTTTCACAGATGTGCTTGATTGATGTATGCACACCTTTAATTTTGGGCCAATTTTTAGCCCATTCTTGGTGACGTTGCTTGTTGCCACAAAAGATGTATATTGCATCTAATTTTGGCATGCCATGAATTTCTGGTACAAGGGTTTGACCAAGTGAACTTGAGGAGATGACAAATGATGTCTCATCGCT